CAATAATATTTAAAATAATTTATGTATCAATAATATTAAAATAAATACTAATTTTTATAATTTTTATATAAATTTTATATATTATTAAATTAATAAATATACTTAATATTATAAGTTTTAAATAAATAATAAGAATTAATAACATAAATAATATATAAGATTATATAAAAAATGATATAAAAAATTATTTTTAAATCATTTTCATTAATAAAACTGTATCACCTCTCGTTTATCTAAATTTTCGATCCCTAATTTCCTCAAAAAAAAAAAAAAATTTCGATCCCTAATTTTCGTCTAACAGTATTACTCTATTTTTTTGTCAGAGGAAAATAAATGGGGTCAATATGGTTTTTTAACGAGGATTTGGTGAGGTTTGGTGGGCTGATGTCAAGTTGACTTGGGCTGACATTTTTGGACCGGGTTTGTGGAGATGGCTGGAACTTAAAAGGGGGCTTTCTTGTTGGCATCTGGTGGGCTTTTAGACAATTTGGGTTTACTTTGTAAGCTCTTGAACACCATTGGATCAATTGTTTTACGAGCTTTATCTCAAAAGCCACCTAACTTTATGAGTTTTGTGTTATTTGATCCATTTCTTCTTGCACGTTTGCCATTTATTCCTCCATTTGCCGAACTTCTACACATAAGTCTGATTTTGCCATTTTTCTTCAAAATTCCAACCCGAACATCATTTATTTTTATGATAAAGCCTTGAAACATAAAAATAAATTACATTAAAATAATTTTAAGGAAATTTTTAATTTTTTAATTTATTCATTATATTATTTAGACATATTTTTTTTGTAAAAATTTAAGTTATGATAGATGAAAAATTAAAATAAAAAAAAATAATGACAAGTTTAAACTTAATGAAAAATAGTAAAATTAAAGAAGGAAAAAAATATTTGTCCTATTTAAAAGAATTAAAATGAAAATTAATTTTGTTTTTTCACCTAAATTTTTTACAGGTTAGTAAACCGTCTGGATTTGGACAGGGTTTGATCTTGGATACTGATCCAAAAATTGCTGAAGAGCTGTTGAATTGTGCATTTGTGTTACAATGAATGTCACTTATTGGGCGTTTTGATCCGTGGTTGCATACTGTTGATAGGTCAAGTTTCTAACCTTCGGATCAACCACATCTTTTGGGAGGCAAATTCAATATTGATTTTGCTATGATAGACAAGACGAGAGTCCTTCTAAACTCTCTATTTTGTTGTATTCAGACTATATTACAACTTTACCAACTGCTTAATTTGTATTAATATATATTTTCTCCTTTTATCACAAAAAAAAAAAAAAACAAAAAAGAGGAAACCTGAATCGACCTTCATTGTGGAAGTTCTCTCATGCCCAGTAGATACCCGCACTAGTATTCTCTTCATAAGTGCCTCAATTGGATCTTCCTTTACTAACCTAGGACGTTCACTCATACCCAGAGCAGAGAGAGCATGTCAGCCGTCTCCTTATCGACCTTGATGTGATCCGTCTTGATGGCGGATTCATCGGGGACGAAGTCCATGCGTCGTTCGCGCACCTCGTCCTGCAACTTGAGCGAGATGCCCCGAACCCGACCCTTCTGGTTGCGCTCCATGAGATGGGTCGAGAATCCGGCAATCTGGTAGCAAAGGCGCTTGGAAGGGATTATGGGAACCTGATCGAGTATATATGTTCTTGTTGGTGTGGAAATCAAGAGTCATTCTCGAGTAGTAGCAGCTCGATTTCTTGCCGAGATGACTTCTTCACCGTCTTGGTACGGACTCGTCCCATGGCTGCTCCTGCTTCACTCTTTAAATGCTGAGTCCTCGCTAATTTTATTTCAGTTTCTCTTTCTAGACTATTTTTTAAGTAGGAGTGAATGCGTAATTGTTCAATTGAACTGAAAAAATGATAATGGGCCAACTGTCTTGATTATTAAGGATAATGAAGGATATATATATGGGGGTTATGCTTCCCACCCTTGGGAGAGGCATAGTGATTTCTATGGAGATATGAAGTCTTTTCTCTTTCAGCTCCATCCAAAGGCATCTATATTCAGACCAACTGGGACCAACAACAATTTACAATGGGTCTGTTTCTGCTTGGTTTCCTACTTTGCTGAAACAAATGTGCTTTGAATTGTTTATTTCTTTGATTTCAATGAATTTTATATGATGGTTCTCACACTTTTCTTTCTTTATTCGGCTTGCTGTGATTAGTTAAGCCCTGTAGGAAAGCTTTATATATGATATTGCTCACTTGGTGCAGCAAGTGTAGGATATTTGTATTTCAACCCTTCCTTTTCCCCGATTGGAATTTTTCTGCAATTGTTAAGCTCTGTTATAATTAGAAGGGCTACTGTAAAATGGATCATTGCTTACTTGATAGGTCTTATTAACTGTTCAAACTGTGAGTTAATTCAAGGGTTTCTCTTTCTGAACTTGGATGAAGGTGGGTTTGACACTGGAATAAAAGAATCTTTAATTCTATTGCACCTTAATTGACCATTCATCCTCTTTTTTTTTCCTGAAATAGTTGATTTTTTTTCCTCGTTTCTTTTATCTCTAGTTTCTACTTTAGTAGTTGGAAAGTAGCGCCCAGTTCCCACGGTCGGCGGTATTCCATTTCCTTCTAGTGTGCAGTAGCATTTCCATGCTTCCTTTTATGTTTACTTATGCATTTAGTCCTATTGTCTTTATTTTTGGCCTTCAGCATTCTTCTTGTTCAACTGCCTATTGTTGTTTTGTTTAACTGACTTATGTAGCTTACAATTTCCAATTGGCAGTGTGCTGTGAGTTTCAGTTCAGAGGCCATTCCAAATGGCATTGGGTTTGGAGGGTGAGTTAATCACTTAGGCCATGTTCCTCTCAGCAGGCTTTGATCGGGGACACACTTTCTCTTGCACAACATTCAACAGCCCTTGCCTTTCAAAGAACAGTAAAATCTGCCCAGAACTGATGGAATGCTGAGGAGTTGTGAGGAAAGGAAAACTAGAAGAAAGAGAAGATGCTCCTAAAGGTACTGTGTTAGAAAAATTTAAGGAGGACCAGAATATGCTCAGTATGGTAGGGATTGCAAATGCTAGAGAGTAAATGTGATCATCTTTGGCCTGCACTTTTGGATGTGGCTTCAACATTCGGATCAGTGCTTAAGGTTAGAAGTCCTGTTCAATATCTGTCTAGTTTAAGGAAATTTTTTTCTTTCTTAAGTCCCTGATTCCTCAATCAAACAGAACTTTATTTTTTTCATCAAGATGGTCCTTAAGAACGCAACTGTATCATGTATACACCAAATCCTCTAACTATAAAAATTTACTCGTGGTTTTAAATAGGAAATTACAGCGGTGTTTATGAGGAGCCATACACTAACCTACTCATCTCACAGAAATACTTTCTTGCATCTTTCTTTAGCTAGAAATAGTAATTATAATGTTTCTCTATTTCTTGCAAAGAAATATCAAATAATATGAATCATTTAACTCTTTCAGTGCTCCCTTGTTGCTTAAGATTCAAACATTCATGAGCAGCATAATTTAAGTGGCTTGCCTCTTTAATGCAACATTTAGATTTATGATATCATTCACCTGATACCAACAAGAGTTTGGCCAAGTTGGTACCCACTTAAAAGCCTTTTTTCGAGATTAAGGTCTGAAATTCAAATATCTATGATGTTAAGCAACTAACTCTCCAATTTAACATATAAAATAAAAGAGATATCATTCTTCATTCAGTTGATGCGGTAGATAGTTACTAGGATAATTGTATATCAACATTTGCTTTTCCATTATTGGAATTTTTTTGTTTTTCAAATACAGCTACTATTGTTAAGCTCTATTATAACTAGAGGGGCTATTGTAAAGTTAACATTGCTTCTTTGGTATTTCTTAGTGGAAAATAAACTGTTCAAACTCTGAAAGTTAATTTAAGTGTGTCTCATGTCTGACTTTTTTGTGGCTAATCAAACATGTCTGACATCTATTCTTTTTAAAAGAAATTTTTTTTCTTTTTATTTTTATTTTTTTTACCTGGAAAAAGGTTTCTTTCATCTCAAGTTTCTACTTTAGTAGTTGGAATGTAGCATAGACAGACAGTCTGTGGTATTCCATTTTCTTACAGTTGTAGTGTGCATTAGCATTTCCATGCTTCGTCTATGTTTATGCATGGATTTAGAACTATTATTTTTTAGTTACAAAGGCTTCCATATCTGGAACTTTATGAACTTTCCAATATTTCACCCTCAGCTCGTGTATTCATTTGTATTTGAAGGAGTTGCGTTTGACTACTTGACCCTGTTTGTCAAAAATTCTATTGCGTAACATCTCTTGCTTTATCATTTTCATGAACTGCTATTTTATTGCCTTCTTCACAGGCTCCTCTACCATGTTTAATGGTTTCTCTGTTTTCTGTCTCATCAAAAGAAAAAAAACAATGCAGCTAACTGGCTTCCTTCTTGCTGACATTTTCATTGCAGATTTCATTTCCATCATTTTTTCGAGTTTGAATGCAACAACTTCGGCGGTAACACTCAAAGCTTCAAAATCAAATCTAAACAAAACAGATATCTTAATACATCCTTCACACTTTGGACCTATTCTTTACGGTCCATTTGTGCTTTGGTTGTCATTTTCTTTGCAGCATATAGTAACATCTCTCTCTAACCGTTTAGCAACTCCTTCACCAGAATCACCACAGCTTCTCCTTCTTTAGACTTTGCTGGAGGTTCCGTAACATCAAGGTAGCATCTAACGTAGACTTTATCTTTAAAAGAGCTGGCATTTCTAGCAACTACGTACTTTTGTGTATTCTTCATCTTCTGCAGCTTCCCGGGACTTAGGATTTGGGTACTTGGTCATCAAAGTAATTTGATGCAGTTCACTGGGTACTCTGTTAGTCCACAGTGGCATGGTCTCAAAAATAGTTACTATTTAAATCTCCAAATGTTTATAAATAAATATATACTCTTGAAAAAATATGCTATATATCCACCAAATGTTTATTGCAACGGCAGCAAATAAAGATGTTTAATCAATCAACCAACTTTGACCAACGGTCAAAGCATAGTTTGACATTTACTTCAACAATCATCTATTCAAAGCAACACTTAAAAAAAAAAACATTTATTCAAAGCAACATTCATTTAAGTGACTAATTCACTGGCATCACTAGACATTGCAAGAATTTTTAGCGCTGTCCTCAACCCATCAAGCTCCTCATCCCCCTAGCGACCATATGTGCTGTCCTTCCGCCCACCAAGCATGTTCCTTTCTTACCAAAGATGTCTGAGCTAAAAGTCAAACCCAAGATCTCAACCAGAAGAGGAAATTGCAACAACACGTAGCATACGATAGGAATACCAGCAAGCAGAGTTATAGGAATGACAAACCCCAATCCACCTTGACCTTGTAGCATTATGAAAAGAGCAGCACAAAATGCTGTGGTCATTGTGGCAATAGAGACGAAGAGTGAAGTAAGGCCGATGATCAAGAGTAAGGATTTGCGGTACTCTTCATCAGAATGATGTGAAGTTAGAATCCCCAAAAACATTATCACTGAACTGGACGCAGTAAAAAGAGAAATTGCATCTGATGCCATAAATACCATAAACACTGTTCGAGTTTTATGCAAAAGTACGGGAGAACCTGTACTTTGATCATTCCCACCAGGAACAGAAAAAGCCACTGCAAACATAATTGTAATAATAAGAGCCCCAACGACTGTTGAAGATTCTGCTGTTTTCTTTACCCATTCTTCCGCTCCTTTTAGCAATTCCTTGTGTTCTCTAACAAACATTTCCAAGGGGGCTTCATTGTCTGAATTTTTGCCCTTTTTGTAGGCTCCTGGAACAATTTCTTTTACTGCCTACAATTGTTTCATAATATTATAGATGCTAAGTGAGAAGCTAAT